ATGGTGGATTTCCCTAAATTAATTAACTAGCTTTCTCAAGTCAAGTTAATCCTTCATTGGTTTGTTAAATTAATCATATCTCTATGTAATTTTAAACAAACTAATGAGCATTAGATTCTATGGAAACCTCTAGCTTAAAAAGGGGAAGCTACTAACTCTCTTCTCTTCCTCCACTACCACATGTGAGCTAATTACCTCTCGGTCTCATAGTCTAGCACACGGTTTATATTATTATTGGTCTAATCTACGCAATTCTTTCTCAAGTTCATGCATAAATCACTAAATCAATTGAAAGATGATCAGGCTTCCAATGCATTAAGTTCAATAATATAAACTCCTCATGCGAATAACTTTAATTGAAAATATAAAATCACAAAATCTATATTGAATTGATTAAACTACATCATAACCTTAATAAAATAAATCAGTTCATAATAAAAAGAATAAAATCTACAATCATAATTAAGAACAAGGAAGAATAAAACCCAATTTGAGGAAATCGAACTCCTTGATCTTCTATTATTGAATCCTCTATTTTGACCTCCAAGAATGCCCAGGAGGGCTGCCACAAGCCTCCACAAAACTCCCCTTAATTCTGAATTTGGATGGGTATTTATAAGATTTTAGAAACCCTAATTGAAATAGAAGTAGAACTTGGAATAGAAATAGGAAACTGAATTTTAGATGCTAATCCCGTGGTGCTGACACTTCGGATTACATGTTAACACAAAATAAAAAACAGAATCTGATTCTGGACGTTTAACGCATGGTGTCGACACCCCGATCATGTGTCGACACTACACCCGTGTCGGGTTTTTGGCATCCTTTTACAATTTCTTCAATGGTAAAATAGCAGATTTGGTTCCTAACTTCTGAATTCTGCACAAGTTGATCCTCAAGTCTCTGATCTCTTCAATTTACTTCTAAAAAGTATGATTTCTTTCAATTAAATCCTTTTCTACACAAAGAATGAAAACCATGAAAAATCAAACAAAATCCCATAAAACTCATCCAAATATCAATAATATCAAAGTAAAAATTCCCTATTAATATATATATAAATTTAGCTCATCAGGTGATCTACAAGAAAGTTTGCCCTTTGATAGCCTTTTGTGGTATGTATTTCAAGTTAAATTCAGATAAGGCCAAAATCTATTTACCTATTCGACCTCTTAACAAATGACGAGACAAGATATACTTGACAACATCAATCGTAGTAACCACATAAACCTTGAAATAAATCAAATAATGTCCTAACTTTATTGCAGCAAAAAAGAAAGTAAGACACAACTTTATAATAGATATCCTATGGACTCATCTATAGCAAATTTATACAAAATTAGAGATTTATTTTTCATAGGAGGTATAAGTACTAGTAGTCTAGGCAAGTACCACTCTTAAAGGTAGACTGGTGCTATTCTTCCAATTTAAAGTTTGCCTCAGACTTGAGCTTCAACAGAGGAGAAAAAACTATGGTTTTCCTAGCCAGGTTAGAAATGAAGCATTTTAAGAAATTAACTTAGCTAAGAAATCTTTATAACTACTTCTTGTTTTGTGGTGGTTGAGCCTCAATCACAGCCCTAACCTTGTTCTTGTCAACCTCTAGACCACGTTCATGTACTTGCAAACACTTTGAAAGCAAATTTCAATGGGTTCATTTTCAAGCCATGTTGCCTCATTCGCTCAAAAGCCTTCCTTAAATGGAATAAGTGGTCATCTTCCTCATGTGACTACACCACAACATCATCAATATAGATTTCCATGAATTTCCCAATCATATCATGGAAAATAGCATACATGGCTCTTTGGTAAGTGGCTCCAACATTCTTTAGACCAAACGGCAACACAATCCATTCAAATATTTCAACAACACCCGGACATCAGAAGGTTGTCTTTAAGACATCTGCTTTTGCAATGAAAATCTGGTTATACCCACTATGGCCATCCATAAATGATAAAATTTTATGTCAAGCAACTCCATCAACTAGCAAGTCTACAATTGGCATTGGATACTAATCCTTTAATATAACTAAGTTCAAGTTTCTAAAATCAACATAGACTCTTAGTTTTCCATTCTTTCCCAACACCAGCACTACATTTGACAACCAATCTGCATATCTGCACATCATGATGAATCCAAACTTTACCAGCCAATCAATTTCCTCTTTTACCTTCAAGGTGACCTCGTTTAAGCAACTGTTTATATGATCTAAATCCTTTTGCAATTGGAAGTTTATGTTCTACCAACTTTCGATCCAAACCTGGCATTTATGAGTAATCCCAAGAAAAATAGTCTTTAAACTCATGCAAAAGTCTAATTATTTGATCTCGTGTTTGCGACTTAAGAAAGCTGCTGATAAATGTTACATTTGGCTCACTTTCAGACCCAAAATTAATCTCTTTTAGTGGGCCCTGAACTTCAACTTTCAAATCATCTAGTTTGGCTAGGGCAAAATCCAGCTCCTCCAAGGTTATTTCGTCACCTTGGTTTGCTTCCTCACCTTCATAAACAATTTTAGAACTATCCACCTATATTGCCCTTTTAGCAAAGTAGGCCACTAATTTCTTTGTTATCTCCAACACGGCCTTCTTTTTTTCTTTTCTCAAACGAGTTTGCTTCATTAGATTTCTTCAATTTTTGGTTCCCTTTTTAGCATATAAGGAATTATTGCTGTTAGCCAAAGAAGTTCATCACAGACTTCCTCAATGACATGCTTTAACAGTGATGGTCTACTGTATGCTGTTACCCTAATTGGCTTCCCATGTCTGTTCATTCAAAAAAATTGAATGGTTCCAATATCTTCTTTGTAATACTTGGCCTCCCACCAAATGGGTATTGGCTGAAAAAGGCTTATCGTCTACAGACACACAACCTCAACCTTGGCATCATTCTAGAAAATTAGCTTTTGGTGAAGTGTTGAAAGGCAACACCAACTCGAATGACCCTAGTCACACCCCAAAAGTGCATTATAAGTAGCAACAATGTACACCACAAAAAATGCAAACATCAATGTTCGATTTTCCACCGTTAATTCAACAGGCAGCACACCTCTTGAACGATTCACCCCATCTGTGAAATCACTAATTGTAACATCAGTATGCACTAAATCATCAAGAAACTTTCTTATTTTGTAAAGCATGCAAGTTGGAAGAACATCGACTGTAACTCCATTATCCACCAAGATGCAACTAATTGGAGTCCCGTCCAAATGAACAAGGATATAAAGTGGCCTAATTTGTTTGGCCATCTTTTTTTCTGATTTTTCAAACACAATTTTATTAACTAAGTCCTCATTTTCATCACCTTGGGCTGGAACCATGATTGCATCTTCTTCTGTCTACTCTGAAAACTCACATACGGTAGGTTCCTTCTCACCTTTAGCTTGGAAAACTAGAGGTAATGTCAACACTAGACATGATAAATTCATTAAGAATTCCTCAAAATGGATAGCACCACTCTTTATTGATGCACCACAAAGATCTTCAAATTGTTCTTATGCTTCAAAAGTTGCTTTCAACACATTGTCTAAATCCACAATGACAGATGCCACCTTTGGAAAGGTTGGAGATTGGTTATCCCCTTCAAATAAAGTCTAAGTTACAACTTCCTTTTTCTCCTTTCTCACCCACATCGTGTTTCTTGTGGCAGGTTGACGTGGTCTGCGAGACGTTGATCCTTGGATGACTGATTGGCTAGAACTACCCACAACCTCCATCCGTTTCTATTGCCTCTTATGTTCCTCAGCTCTTTTGCGTTGTAGTCTATGCCTTAAGGTTCTGGGATTTTAGGTTGGAAATTTTGGATAACTAACTTTCTCCCATCATCTGGAAGGTGATTTGAGTGGTGGTTTAACCATTCTTGGAGATTTGACACTAGTTAAGTAAGGTATGGTCCTTTTTGGGTTAAGGTTCCTAATCATAATGATCCTTCCTTACCCCTCAAGCCTCTATCAAATTGACCTGACATTCCTGTTACGTCTGGATCTTTTCGCTTCAATAACCCACCTCAAGTAATCAGCAACAAGGTTTCTTTGGGCGTAAGGCAAACTATAGTTTCTGGCAAAGCTCTTTAGATCCGCAACATTCATGCCAACAGACATAGTTGGATAAGAATCTACATCTACTCCCATTGTTTCTTTTGCTTTGTTTTAAAATTTCAAGATACCATTATTAATCTTTTCTTGCAAAACATTATGAAAAATAGGAAAATTATTGGTAGAATGTTTCCAAGAATTATGATATTTGCAATAATATCTAACTCCAATTTTAGCCATTGTTGGAATTTTGTGTCTAGGCGACAGCTTAATCAAACCACTCTTTTTAAGGTGGTAAAATATATCACTAGCTTTTAACATATCAAAAGTGTATTGTTTTTCAGCCTCACTAACATGACATCTCACAAACATCTTAGGTTGGTGAGTTGTTCTGATAAGGGTTGGACAGACAACAGGCTTATCTGTAATCACCTTAGCCATATCAAGATTAAAATTTGAGTCACTATAATAGGTTCTATGTGATGCAATTTTCTTTTGAATGTCTTCCTTTAGCAATTTTTCATGTCAAATCACTTTGTAAGACAATTCATAAAAGTCTCAAAATTCCATACCCTTAAATTTTTTTTTGGAGCCCAATGTCCAAACCGTTCTAAGCTAGCTTAACAAATTCCTATTTTGGGAGTGCAACTTGACATTTTAGTCTGACTCTTTGGAACCTAGCAAGGAATGCCTCAGATGACTCCCTAGGCTTTTGAGCTAACTTAGACAGATTGCCATAGACACCTCAAGTTCACAATGATAGAATTGGGTGTGGAGCAAATCTTCTATTTGCCTCTAAGAATAAATTGAGTTTTAAGGTAAATTGAGGTACCAAGTAAGGGCTATGCTAATAAAAATAGATAGGGAATAGTTTGAGTTTCAGATTATCATCTCCAGACGTCTTTCCACACTATATTGTGAAACATCCAATATGTTTAATAATGGACTGACCAACCTCTCAAGAAAATAAAGATAACTTAGGCACTTTAAAGCCTATTAGAAAAGGATTTTCATGATCGATGATGTCGATCTATATAAGGCTTCTTGTAAGTTGGACGCACTAGTGGCCTCAAGGCTTGCCCATAAGTCTCATGTAAAATCTATTAGCTAATCTTTATTGATAAATTGAGCCGATTGATTTTGCAGACCTCACTGTGGCGATTGGGTTAGTGGAATTTATGGCTAAAAGTAATCCCTTGGATATGGTTGATGGTGATGACCCCTATTTACCTTCCTAGTCGACCATATGTATCTATGCTAAAGTTGATGATCATAGTCTCCAA